TGGTGGTGGGTCACTACTGTGGTGGTGGGTCACTACTGTGGTGGTGGTGGGTCACTACTGTGGTGGTGGTGGGTCACTACTGTGGTGGTTGTGGGTCACTACTGTGGTGGTTGTTCAGGGTGGGTCACTACTGTGGTGGTGGGTCACTACTGTGGTGGTGGTGGGTCACTACTGTGGTGGTGGTGGGTCACTACTGTGGTGGTGGTGGGTCACTACTGTGGTGGTGGTGGGTCACTACTGTGGTGGTGGTGGTGGTGGGTCACTACTGTGGTGGTGGTGGGTCACTACTGTGGTGGTGGTGGCTCACTACTGTGGTGGTGGTGGCTCACTACTGTGGTGGTGGTGGGTCACTACTGTGGTGGTGGGGGGTCACTACTGTGGTGGTTGTGGGTCACTACTGTGGTGGTGGTGGGTCACTACTGTGGTGGTGGTGGGTCACTACTGTGGTGGTTGTTCAGGGTTAGTAATATAGTGGTTGTTCAGGGTTAAAATCAAGTCCAAGCGCAGTTAAAAGCTCTGTACCTCAGGGTACAGTCCTTGCACCAAAACTTTTCCTTATTCTCATATCAGATATAGACACAAATACAAGTCACAGCTTCGTATCATCCTTTGCAGATGACACGAAAATCAGCATGAAAATTACCTCTGCTGAAGACACTGAAAAACTACAAGCAGATGTTAATAAGGTTTTCGACTGGGCAACAGAAAATAACACGATGTTTAACAGTGATAAATTCCAGGTACTCAGGTACGGTAAAAATGAGAATCTTAACCATAATACAGGTACAAAACACAGTCAAATTTGCCCATAGTAGGAAAGCAACATGTACAGGATTTGGGAATAATGTTGTCTGACGACCTAACGTTTAGGGAGCATAACCAAGCAAGTATTGCGTCAGCCAGAAAAATGATCGGATGGATTACGAGAACTTTCAAATCCAGGGATCCCATCACAATGGTTGTACTCTTCAAGTCACTTGTGTTGTCCCGTCTTGAGTACTGCTCAGTAATCACTTCCCCCTTCAGAGCAGGAGAGATTGCTGAAATAGAGGGAATACAGAGAATATATACGGCACGCATAGACGAGATAAAGCACCTAAATTATTGGGATCGTCTCAAAGCTCTCCAAATGTACTCACTAGAAAGGAGACGAGAGAGATACCAAATAATATACACATGGAAAATACTGGAGGGCCAGGTCCCAAATCTGCACAGTAAAATAACAACGTATTGGAGTGAACGACATGGAAGAAAATGCAGAATAGAACCAGTGAAGAGCAGAGGTGCCATAGGCACAATCAGAGAACACTGTATAAACATCAGAGGTCCGCGGCTGTTCAACATCCTCCCAGCGAGCATAAGAAATATTGCCGGAACAACTGTGGACATCTTCAAGAGGAAACTAGATATAGTTTTATCCAAGGAGTGCCGGACCAACCGGGCTGCGGGCCGCTCCAAGCAACAGCCTGGTGGACCAAACTCTCACAAGTCAAGCCTGGCCTCGGGCCGGGCTCTGGGAGTAGAACTCCTCCCAGAACCCCATCACGCAGGTACTGTGGTGGTTTAGGGTTAGTACTGTAGTGGTGGTGGTTGAGGGTCACTACTGTGGTGTATACTCTCTCTTCCCCACCTTCCCACTTTGCTAACTTTAACAATAACGTTTTAAACGCGCTGCTTAAAGTTTTCAGCTTTATCCTCTCACCTTTAATTAATGCTGCCAATTTGCCCCGTAAGTTTGATTCAATTAGTCGTGTGTCATTGAACATTGGAACACCCAGGCCGGCCTGGCGGGTTATCTTGAGGTTATCTTGAGATGATTTCGGGGCTTTAGTGTCCCCGGGGCCCGGTCCTCGACCAGGCCTCCAACCCCAGGAAGCAGCCCGTGACAGCTGACTAACACCCAGGTACCTATTTACTGCTAGGTAACAGGGACATTCAGAGTGAAAGAAACTTTGCCCGTTTGTTTCTGCCTCGTGCGGGAATCGAACCCGCGCCACAGAATCACGAGTCCTGCGCGCTATCCACCAGGCTACGAGGCCCCTGTAAACGGGTAGTCGACGGTCCACCACTTCTTGTGTGTGTGTAAAGTATATATTTTCTAAGAGACATATTACATAGATACAGCAACAGAGTAATGTAGAGAAAGACCAATGACCGAGGTGTGCAAGAGATCAATTGATCTGTGTTGCACAGTGCAACACAGCGTTATGTCTGATGGCCAGGAGAGTCCTGAGGCACTCAGAGTTTGGAGGGCACGCACTCTCCCCGTGGACTTGAAGAGAGTACGAGGCCAGTCCTCTCCTGGACCTGCATATTATCATCTGGGAGAACTCTTTAACATGCTCCTCGAAACCTTTAATGAATGTTTATTGGCTGTGTTTAGTCTCCTGTGAGTTGTGCTAACATCATAAACATTTGTATTCATAAACCCAAAGCTGCCTTTTGCATAAACAAATTCATAGCTGCCTTATTCAGACATATTAGGAGTAAATGTGTGCTATTGTGTTCTCTGACTCCCTACATAATGGATATGTAGTGCTTTCGTGGACCTTTTTTACCACTCTCTCTGATTATTATACTACCTTGAGCTTTTGTGGAGGGTGTGAGGTATATCTCTGCTCTACACCTTCACCTCTTGTACACTGCCTACACTCTACGTTGCTCTTTTGTTGCATACACAAACATACATGCAGGCATATACACAGCTAGGTCAGGGATCTTCACTTCTTATATTTCATAATCGTGTTGTGCGAGAGATTTGCAAAGGTTGCATCTTCATGTTTCTATCTCCCCTTTTCTTAAGCAAGTGTAGTGTTCTGGGACCCTGTTCTGGGTCCTTATACCTCGCTTGTGGCTTCCTTGTGTCTCCTGTCTCGCCTCTCTAGTTCCAGTCGTTCCCCTCTATGCCCGCCCGCTCTCTCTCTCTCATTGCCTCTTCCTCAACATTCTGTAGCTCTACTGATATGTGTCTTTTTAATCCTTTCTGAGTTCCCTAGTTCTCTTCCTGGTATTCTCCTCTCCCCCTCCTCACAATCTCTCCTCCCCCTACTCACAATCTCTTTTCCCCCTTCTCACAATCTCTTCTCCCCCTCGCAATCTCTGCTCCCCCTCCTCACAATCTCTGCTCCCCCTACTCACAATCTCTCCTCCCCCCTCCTCACAATCTCTCCTCCCCCTCCTCACAATCTCTCCTCCCCCCTTCTCACAATCTCTCCTCCTAGTGGTTCTCTCACCCGCATGTTCACTTACAGTGCTCTCTCTCACACACGCTGTAACCTTATTTATGCTTCTAACTTTAATTTCACGCTGTTTGTAATTTTACAAATAAATTGCATACTTATGACTTTAATAATTGTTATTTTTAGTATATAATTAGATAGTGATCAGCTAATTTATGAGTTAGAATAGTGAGCATGTCTGCTGTGTATAATGTGTACTTCATCCATATGTGTACTCTATGTATATCTTGTTCTCTCTCTCTCTCATTCTCCTCCCTAAATCTGTATAATGTCTCTCACTGGATAAAAACTCTTAAGTTATAACTATCTATTAGCACTGATCTGTTGTGACATAATCCATTATCTTATAAAATATAAAAATATGTAGCATCACCATCTGATTATTTTAATCTTTTTGTTTTTAATTGAAACCTCACTTAAGGCAAAGTAAAGATGTTCATCTTCAGATGGTGTTAAGGAACTGCAACAGTGAAAAGCAGTATAAAATGTCTGGATAATTTTTATCCCATTGCACTCTGGATATATGTGAAGACTTTATCCAGTGAGCGAACATCCTTGTCATATTTTCATATTTAATACCTCCCTTACTAATTCCTACCAACTATAATAATCCTGAGACGACTGTGGTAACTCTCATGCGTCGCGGTAATCCTTATCAACTAAAATAATCCTTATCCAGCTACGGTAATCCATATCACATAAATCAGAGTAAAAATACCTTGAGAGAGCAATCTCTCTCTCTTGACAATCTCTTATAATACACCAAACCCTTAATTTAGGTAATACCTTCAGGGTCATACTTTACCCTAAGGCTATTCCCTTACCTTAAGGGGTATTTCCTTTACCTTGCCCCATGGTATCGCAGTATCTCCATGGTCATATCTTGTGGTGATTGTCCGTCTCCATTGGCTCCTAGCCCCCCAGCAGCCTTTCCCAGCCCCGTTTCCTGTTTCTATCCTAGCCCCAGTAGCCTTTCCTATCCTCAGCACAATCTTGCCTACCCCCCCTAGCCAGTATTCCCAGCCCCGTGGGTGGTGTCAGGTGGCTCTGACTCCTGGTAAACACACTTAAGGAGATCATCCCTTGCAACTTCCTTCCCAGAATGGCGTTCGTGCAGGAGAATGACAATGGTGTATGGATTCCTGTCAGTAATCCTGGCTACTTTGATTACAGCCAGAGCACATACTGTCTGTCTTGTCCTCCCTCAGTCTCCTGTCTGTCTACCGCCTTATCCATCCCAGTCTCCTGTCTATCTACCGCCTTATCCATCCCAGTCTCCTGTCTATCTACCGCCTTATCCATCCCAGTCTCCTGTCTATCTACCGCCTTATCCATCCCAGTCTCCTGTCTGTCTACCGCCTTATCCATCCCAGTTTCCTGTCTATCTACCGCCTTATCCATCCCAGTCTCCTGTCTATCTACCGCCTTATCCATCCCAGTCTCCTGTCTATCTACCGCTTTATCCATCCCAGTCTCCTGTCTATCTACCTCCTTATCCATCCCAGTCTCCTGTCTATCTACCGCCTTACCCATCACCACTCCCATCCTCCTCCAATATCTCCCCTCCCCCCCCTGTCAATAACACCACAACAATAACCTTCCCCCAGCACCCCCCTCCTCCAGCAGCACTCCCCCACACCGGCCACCCTCCCCAACCACTACCACCACCACTACCACAACCACCACCACCACCACCACCCCTCTCCGGCTAACGGTGCCCTAGTGACTAACCAGAGTGTCCCTGCTTGCCCCTCCTTCCAGGCGCTGCTTCAGGCCCACGATGTGGTGGCTCACGAGGTGTACGGAGACGAGGCCATTCGCGTAACGCCGCCGCCGCTCCTGCCCTACCTGAACGGCGACGACGGTGTCGACCCCGCCAACGGTGACGTCGATATGGACAACATTACCAGAGTCAGACTCGTCCAGTTCCAGAAAAACTCGGATGAACCCATGGTACGTGGTACGTCTAGCCGCCCCCCACCTCTCTCTCTCTCCTCCACGCCTGGGCCAGTGGTGGTGGTGGTGGGGGTGGCCTGGGCCAGTGGTGGTGGGGGTGGCCTGGGCCAGTGGTGGTGGGGGTGGCCTGGGCCAGTGGTGGTGGTGGTGGGGGTGGCCTGGGCCAGTGGTGGTGCTGGGGGTGGCCTGGGCCAGTGGTGGTGGGGGTTAGCCTGGGCCAGTGGTGGGGGTAGCCTGCATCAGTGGTGGGGGTTAGCCTGCATCAGTAGTGGTGCAGCACACCTGCACCAGCGGTGGGGAAGCACACACCTGCACCAGTGGTGGGGCAGCACACCTACACCAGTGGTGGGGCAGCACACCAGTGGTGGAGCAGCATACCTACACCAGTGGTGGGGCAGCACACCAGTGGTGGAGCAGCATACCTACACCAGTGGTGGGGCAGCACACCAGTGGTGGGGCAGCACACCAGTGGTGGAGCAGCATACCTACACCAGTGGTGGGGCAGCACACCAGTGGTGGGGCAGCACACCAGTGGTGGGGCAGCACACCAGTGGTGGAGCAGCATACCTACAACAGTGGTGGAGCAGCATACCTACAACAGTGGTGGGGCAGCACACCAGTGGTGGAGCAGCATACCTACACCAGTGGTGGGGCAGAACACCTACACCAGTGGTGGGGCAGCACACCTACACCAGTGGTGGGGTAGCACACCAGTGGTGGAGCAGCATACCTACACCCGTGGTGGGGCAGAACACCTACATCAGTGGTGGGGCAGCACACCTACACCAGTGGTGGAGCAGCATACCTACACCAGTGGTGGGGCAGCACACCAGTGGTGGAGCAGCATACCTACACCAGTGGTGGGGCAGCACACCAGTGGTGGAGCAGCATACCTACACCAGTGATGGGGCAGCACACCAGTGGTGGAGCAGCATACCTACACCAGTGGTGGGGCAGCACACCAGTGGTGGAGCAGCATACCTACACCAGTGGTGGGGCAGCACACCAGTGGTGGAGCAGCATACCTACACCAGTGGTGGGGCAGAACACCTACACCAGTGGTGGGGCAGCACACCTACACCAGTGGTGGGGCAGAACACCTACACCAGTGGTGGAGCAGCACACCTACACCAGTGGTGGGGCAGCAAACCTACACCAGTGGTGGGGCAGCACACCTGCACCAGTGTTGGCAGCACACCTGCACCAGTGGTGGGGCAGCACACCTGTACCAGTGGTGGAGCATCACACCTTCACAAGTGGTGGGGCAGCACACCTACACCAGTGGTGGGGCAGCACACCTACACCAGTGTTGGAGCAGCACACCTACACCAGTGGTGGGACAGCACACCTAAACCAGTAGTGGGGCAGCACACCAGTGGTAGGGCCGCACACCTGCACCAGTGGTGGGGCCGCACACCTGCACCAGTGGTGGGGCCGCACACCTGCACCAGTGGTGGGACCGCACACCTGCACCAGTGGTGGGGCCGCACACCTGCACCAGTGGTGGGGCAACACACCTGCACCAGTGGTGGGGCAGCACACCTGCACCAGTGTTGGCAGCACACCTGCACCAGTGGTGGGGCAGTACACCTGCACCAGTGGTGGGGCAGCACACCTGCACCAGTGGTGGAGCAGCACACCTTCACAAGTGGTGGGGCAGCACACCTACACCAGTGGTGGGGCAGCACACCTACACCAGTGTTGGAGCAGCACACCTACACCAGTGGTGGGACAGCACACCTAAACCAGTAGTGGGGCAGCACACCAGTGGTAGGGCCGCACACCTGCACCAGTGGTGGGGCCGCACACCTGCACCAGTGGTGGGGCCGCACACCTGCACCAGTGGTGGGGCCGCACACCTGCACCAGTGGTGGGGCCGCACACCTGCACCAGTGGTGGGGCAACACACCTGCACCAGTGGTGGGGCAGCACACCTGCACCAGTGGTGGGGCAGCACACCTGCACCAGTGGTGGGGCAGCACACCTACACCAGTAGTGGGGCAGCACACCTACACCAGTGGTGGAGCAGCACACCTGCACCAGAGGTGGTGCAGCACACCTGCACCAGTGGTGGGGCAGAACACCTCCACCAGTGGTGGGGCAGCACACCTACACCAGTGGTGGGGTAGCACACCTACACCACTGGTGGGGCAGCACATCTACATCACTGGTGGGGCAGCACACCTGCACCAGTGGTGGGGCAGCACACCTGCACCAGTGGTGGGGCAGCACACCTACACCAGTGGTGGGGCAGCACACCTACACCAGTAGTGGGGCAGCACACCTGCACCAGTGGTGGAGCAGCACACCTACACCAGTGGTGGAGCAGCACACCTGCACCAGTGGTGGGCAACACACCTGCACCAGTGGTGGGGCAGCACACCTACACCAGTAGTGGGGCTGCACACCTACACCAGTGGTGGAGCAACACACCACCAGTGGTGGGGCAGCACACCTACACCAGTGGTGGGGCAGCACACCTACACCAGTGTTGGAACAGGACACATACACCAGTGGTGGGAAAGCACACCTACACCAGTGGTGGGGCAGCACACCAGTGGTGGGGCCGCACACCTGCACCAGTGGTGGGGTCGCACACCTGCACCAGTGGTGGGGCCGCACACCTGCACCAGTGGTAGGGCCGCACACCTGCACCAGTGGTGGGGCAGCACACCTGCACCAGTGGTGGGGCAGCACACCTGCACCAGTGGTGGGGCCGCACACCTGCACCAGTGGTGGGGCCGCACACCTGCACCAGTGGTGGGGCAACACACCTGCACCAGTGGTGGGGCAGCACACCTGCACCAGTGGTGGGGCAGCACACCTGCACCAGTGGTGGGGCAGCACACCTACACCAGTAGTGGGGCAGCACACCTGCACCAGTGGTGGGGCAGCACACCTGCACCAGAGGTGGGGCAGCACACCTGCACCAGAGGTGGGGCAGCACACCTACACCACTGGTGGGGCAGCACACCTACACCACTGGTGGGAGAGGGTGACTTAGGGCACCAGAACAAGTCCTGTACGAGGCTGAGGAACTGGTGATCCAGGTCTGTAGTGAAGGTAAGTGGTCTACTTATGTACACACACCTGCTGCTGGATCATTATACCTACTCCTGTATCATTATACCCGCTGCTGGATCATTATACCCGCTGCTGGATCATTATACCTACTCCTGGATCATTATACCCGCTGCTGGATCATTATACCCGCTGCTGGATCATTATACCTACTCCTGGATCATTATACCCGCTGCTGGATCATTATACCTACTCCTGGATCATTATACCCGCTGCTGGATCATTATACCTACTCCTGGATCATTATACCCGCTGCTGGATCATTATACCCGCTGCTGGATCATTACACCTACTCCTGGATCATTATACCCGCTGCTGGATCATTATACCCGTTGCTGGATCATTATACCTACTCCTGGATCATTATACCCGTTGCTGGATCATTATACCTACTCCTGGATCATTATACCCGCTGCTGGATCATTATACCTACTCCTGGATCATTATACCCGTCGCTGGATCATTATACCCGCTGTAGGATCATTATACCCGCTCCTGGATCATTATACCTACTCCTGGATCATTATACCCGTTGCTGGATCATTATACCTACTGCTGGATCATTATACCTACTCCTGGATCATTATACCTGCTGCTGGATCATTATACCCGCTGCTGGATCATTATACCTACTCCTGGATCATTATACCTGCTGCTGGATCATTATACCTGCTGCTGGATCATTATACCTACTCCTGGATCATTATACCTGCTGCTGGATCATTATACCCGCTGCTGGATCATTATACCTACTCCTGGATCATTATACCCGCTGCTGGATCATTATACCCGCTGCTGGATCATTATACCTACTCCTGGATCATTATACCCGTTGCTGGATCATTATACCCGCTGTAGGATCATTATACCCGCTGCTGGATCATTATACCCGCTGCTGGATCATTATACCTGCTGCTGGATCATTATACCTACTCCTGGATCATTATACCCGCTGCTGGATCATTATACCTGCTGCTGGATCATTATACCTACTGCTGGATCATTATACCTGCTGCTGGATCATTATACCCGCTGCTGGATCATTATACCTACTCCTGGATCATTATACCCGCTGCTCGATCATTATACCCGCTGCTGGATCATTATACCTGCTGCTGGATCATTATACCTGCTGCTGGATCATTATACCTACTCCTGGATCATTATACCCGCTGCTGGATCATTATACCCGCTGCTCGATCATTATACCCGCTGCTGGATCATTATACCTGCTGCTGGATCATTATACCTGCTGCTGGATCATTATACCTACTCCTGGATCATTATACCCGCTGCTGGATCATTATACCCGCTGCTGGATCATTATACCTGCTGCTGGATCATTATACCTACTCCTGGATCATTATACCCGCTGCTGGATCATTATACCCGCTGCTGGATCATTATACCTGCTGCTGGAACATTATACCTACTCCTGGATCATTATACCCGCTGCTCGATCATTATACCCGCTGCTGGATCATTATACCTGCTGCTGGATCATTATACCTACCCCTGGATCATTATACCCGCTGCTGGATCATTATACCCGCTGCTTGATCATTTTACCCGCTGCTGGATCATTATACCCGCTGCTGGATCATTATACCCGCTGCTGGATCATTATACCCGCTGCTTGATCATTTTACCCGCTGCTGGATCATTATACCCGCTGCTGGATCATTATACCCGCTGCTGGATCATTATACCCGTTGCTTGATCATTTTACCCGCTGCTGGATCATTATACCCGCTGCTGGATCATTATACCCGCTGCTTGATCATTTTACCCGCTGCTGGATCATTATACCCGCTGCTTGATCATTTTACCCGCTGCTGGATCATTATACCCGCTGCTGGATCATTATACCCGTTGCTGGATCGTAATACCAGCTGCAGGATACTAGCATTATACAT